TTTTTCTTCATACCTATACAGCGTCAGATAGACTGACTCTTCACTTGAGAATTCTGCAGGCTGTTGTAAATACGCGAGGACTACCAGATATAGACTATCCTACAATCAATATACGCCTAAACAATAACGATCTATAGAACTTATCCTTACGAATCATGACGCCTAATATACAAAATATCAGAGGCCCTATACACAATTATCTAAATTACTGAGATATTAGATTTCTTCTTCATAATCCAAATTTTTAAAACGAATTCACCCCTGTTATTAATAATTTATTCAGAGGAATTTACTTCATGAATTTGATAAAACATGCAACATAAATTCCGAGGATTTACCGGTGTGAAATAAAGTTTGTTTACATGATGGCTGCTAATATAGTCATGAGATAAGATTTATCGCAAGATTTTTGGAATGGTTTGTCACCCAAAAATCGGTAGAATCTGTCATTTATACCTGATTGAGATGAGAGTTCGTAATACTTTGAGTGCACAGTTCGCGGGGATAATCCAGCAGTCGCTAGGAATTCTTTGTCCCAAGATATGTGGTTGCGCGCCCGTTTAGTTCTTTCGACCTCCATCGTAGGTGAGGGTGCTCGCAAGTCGGCCCTGGTACCTCTGTTGTGTGGACGGTTTAGCCTGGTTGTATCACATTTTATCCATTCTTGCTGCTAATAGATGCACTGGCACAAAAACATTGCCTACGCATTTGTGTGTTTATTCCCTAACCTTTAACTATAGTCACTTACCCAGTAACCCTTAAACCCAACAATTACCCAATGCACGCATGCATGCGGATGCCGACACGAATCGTTACGCTCGACGCACGCACACGGTTAACTGTCCGAACACCTTGATGCACGCGATGCATTGCACGGTAAGCGATCCTACGCTGCCACACACGTCTACAGTCTATGTACGCAGCGCACGTCAGCACGCACAAGTGGTTGCAGATGCGACAGCACACTGTCGGACTCTTACGTGTTACGGCTGAACGGAAGTCGAAGTAGAAAATTCGCGCTCATCGAAGGAGCTTCACGTGCAAAGGCGGCGCTGGCGTGGAGAGGTGAAAGAACAGCGGAGAGGGAGTCCGGGACCAAACTCGGTGGCGTCCGTTGCAGGAGACGTGAGCAGAGAGAGAAAGAAGAAGAAAAGAGATGAGAGGAAAGCGGAGAGAGAGAGAATAAGCGAGAGAAGAGAGAGAGAGAGTAGAGAGGAGTAGCGAGAGAGAGGAGAGGAGAGCAGAGAGGAGCCCAGATGCGAGAGAGTAGAGGAGAGGAACGCAAGATCGCCGCAAGAGCCTGCAGGCCCACCGGTGTCCAGAGAGCGAGAGAATGGAGATGAGCACGAGAGGAGAAAGGTGCGAAAGAGGGAGAGTGTGGGGGGAATTTTGGGGGACGAGTGAAGCGGTGAGGCGGGAGGAGCGAAAGAAGACCGGCCTCTTCGTGTGTAGAGTCACATATACAGTTACTGTGCCCGCAATTCTGCATTTTCCTCCGTATACCTTAAGTTAAGGGGGAGTGAATGTTCGCCTTTCTTTACACCTCTTGACCTTTTGACTTTGACCCCCAACTTCGACATGCCAATCGTTTTGACGATCCCCAACGACGCTGAAATACGGTGACCCGTACGTCGAGCGGGTTACAAGATTTGTGGCGCAACTGTTGACGGTACGGGTGGACTGTTGGATAGGTAGTGGTGACGGATCGGCCGGACGGCAGAAACACGGACGATTCATGCGATTCTACAGCTGCAATCTGACGTATGTCAGAATGAGCCTAACAAAATTCACTAAAGTATACGCATACTCAGCGGCTATCTATTGAATGGACAAAAGCGGGTTTAATGGACATGATGAAGGCACGTGAAACCGGATAAATGTTAGATTCATGGATGAGGAAATGTTTCAGGACCACGGAGGAGCCAATTTATGGTAAGCCATACCATAGTAAGCCAAGGTCAATTATGATGAATGGTACAGAATACCTTCTTTCCTGAACAACAGTTGAAACGTTGGACCAACTAAGTAAGGTAAAAGAATTTTAAATGTTAGAGGACTTTCAAATGAATGTCTACGAAAATATAAAGTCCATTTTAGCAAACACCTATTGGATGGCATTTCGGAAATTTTACCATCATGACTGATAAAATAGATACAAAAATCTTATGCTACTTCAATATATATATTAAATGGAAAACATAGATTATATGAAAGAAAGTTTTTATAAAGCAGATCAAAAAAGGAAGGAAAGAAACTGGGGAATTAAATCCAATAATACTTTAGAGGAATACGAATTAGAAATATCATTTACAGCCCATAGGATAAGCCAAATAGACCTTGGAAAAAAACAAGTCAGATGCTATACTAAAACGAGTAATTAAAAGAGACAAATTGCAAAACTTAGAGGCCAAAACAAAAATAAACATGGCATAAACAGTTGAAAAATATGGATTGATAGGAATATATTGAAAGTATTATCATTTAACGATTCGTGTTTTGCATGTTAAATGCCAAAACTTGCCATGATTGACCATAAAAGGATACTATTAAAAAATAATTTTTGCGAGGATTAAGTGTAATAGATGTAATAACGATATGAAAGAAGATATTGGAACATTGTATATAGATTGTGGATAGTTATGAAGAATATAAGTGAGGGGACACAGAAATAAGAAATTGCTAGAAGGAGACAAACCTGGCACTATTAAAACCCTGATTAGATTATGTCTCGCGGAAAATTTCTTGTCGCAGTCGCGTGACACTACATGTAGAGAATTAGATGGCGGACGTTTATTCTGTTGTTTTCTTAGATTGGAACCCGCCACTGCGTTGATTCAGGGTGGCCTTGCTGAAATACGAAGAGAGAGGGAACCAGATACAAAGATACAAAGATACAAAACTGTTACACAGAGACACGTATGCATGTTGTTAGCCTTTGGAAAATATTACACAAAAATTACCTATAAAATAAAGTCCGTGTATATAGTTTATTTTTAGATGCATCGCTTGTTTTATGGTTACCAGATTGCTGTAATATGTTGTTTATGAAGAGTTTTTGTGTAGATGCAGGTTGGCAGTTATACGCCGGTAGAGGTCGCATGTCACGAGGCGGTGCGAGCGTTGCTGCTGTTTTTCTCTTCAATGCGCCTCGTTTCATGATGTTGTAAACTTCATCCTTGCTCACGAGTGTGATCTCTTCGAGACCTTGGATCACCACGGAGCCCTGAAGCAAGAAATATTTTATATATTCTGTGTGTGCTTTGCAGTTAATAACACATGCTGGTGGGACTAGGACGAGGGGAAATGTTATGGATTGGTGCTTAGTTATTTAAAGTAACACACATTTAGTAAGTGTGGTGCTGCAAAAATATAATGTGGCAAGATGTCAAGAGAGCTCATGGCAAACAGTGGTATAAGAGCTAAAGAATCTGGCCATCTTTTGCTAAATCTGCAGTAGTTTGATAATTGCAGAATCGCCCACTCTGTGTACCTTGTTGGCAGAGTCATCAAATAATCTCATTCGTTTGTCACTGCCACTGGAGCTCAACAGATCAATCAGTTCTTCATTATACAGCTCCAGATAGCTGACTTTCACTGCGAATTCTGCAGGCTGTTGTAAATACGAGGAACAATATAGAACTATCCTACAATCAATACGCCTAAAATAACAATATAGAACTATCCTACAATCAATACGCCTAAAATAACAATAAAAGGCCCTATAACAATTATCTAAATTACTGAGCATATTAGATATCTTTACTTCATTAATCCAAATTAAAAAATTCCCCCATGTATAATAATTTATTCCAGAGGAATTTCTTCATAATTTGATAAACATGAACATAAATCCACATACACGTGAATAAATGTGTTTACATGATGGTGCTAAATATCATAGATAAATTTATCGCAAGTTTTTGCGAATGGTTTCCACCCAAAAATCTAGAATCTTCAATTTATACCTGATTGGTGAGAGTATCGAATATTTGATGCACAGATCGCGGGATAATCCCAGCTAGTGAGTCCTTGTCCCAAGATATGTGTTGCTCTGCCGTTCTTTCACCCTCCATCGTATAGGTCTCCATCGCATGTACCTGTGTTATCACATTTATCCACTCTTGCATGTACACGTGACATGCACACAAACATGCCTACGCATGTGTATTCCCTAACCTTAACTATAGTCACCTTACCATAACCCTAAACCCAACACAATTACCCATGCACGCATGCATGCATGCACGAACGAACGTACGCACGCACGCACACGTGTATGTCGACACCTATGCACGCATGCATGCACGAACGCATACACACGCGCACACACGTCTACACCTATGTACGCACGCACGCACGCACACACGTGTATGATGCGCACGCACACGTCGACTCTTACGTGTTTCACGCTGAAGGAGTCGAAGGAGAAGCGCTTCTCGAAGGAGTTCACGTGCAAGCCGCCGCTGGAGAGGAAGAACAGCGGAGGAGTCGGGGACCAAACGGTGCGTCCGTGCAGGAGAGTGAGAGAGAGAGAGAGAAAGAGAGAGAAAGAGAGAGTGAGAGAAAGCGAGAGAGAGAGAGAGAGAGAGAGAGAGAGAGAGAGAGAGAGAGAGAGAGAGAGAGAGAGAGAGAGAGAGAGAGAGAGAGAGAGAGAGAGAGAGAGAGAGAGAGAGAGAGAGAGAGAGAGAGAGAGAGAGAGA